GCAGGACGCCCGGGCCGCCGTGGGCCCCTTCTCTCAGCACGGCCTGCGGTGAGCCGACCCCTCCCTGCTCCTCAGCCCTCGCTCCCACAAGTCCCAGTGGGCGCACCGGGGCAGTGTGTTCCTCTCCCCACCTGGAAGGAGCCGGCCGGCCTCGACTTCCTTCCTGCTCCGCCCCTGCCCCCTCTCGCTGGCCTTGCAGCCCTGCCAGGACCGCCCGATTTCACAGGTGGACAGACGCCTTCGTGGGCCTGAGCACCTGCGGGCGACACATGTCTGTTCACCGGGTGTTGGGGGCCGTGGTGCGGACCCTGGAAGATAATCCCGCGGGCCAGCCCATGACGGTGGAGCTGATGACACACCCAGGTTACCCCAGTGTGCCCCCGGCCGGGGGCTGTGGCGAGGGTCCTGACGCTTTCTCCTGCTCTTGGGAGAGACTCCATGAACTGCACGTTCTCACGGCACCCACGCTGCGGGCAAGGCTGGCCCAGGACGGGGTGCAACTCTGTGCCCTCGAGGACCTGGACCCCAAGAGGCCAGAAGAAGGAGTCTCTTGCCAGGCCTCTCTGGAACCTTTCCTGGACCCTTCCCTACCCTAAGCGCTAAGGCTCCTTAGTGTGGAGGAAAGGGACCAAGACTCAGCCAGGAACCAGGCCCTGGGGCGGGGTCTCTGACTTCCCAGTGCGACACACTGCCAGCTGCTCTGTGCCCAGGGTCTCCTGGGTCAGAGTGGCACCAGTGCCCGGCTGGGGGCACAGGGCCTGCAGTGTAGGTACCGATCCACGTTGCAGTGTGAACACCTGATTGTTCAGTGACAGTGGATGGATTGTTATGTAAATAAAAGGGTATATGTCTTTTAGACTTGGGTGGTTTATGAACACTTCCTAGGAAACCTTCACAGAAACAGAATTAGTGACAGCGGCTTCTTGGTGGCTCAGACCATCATCGGTACTCCAGAAAAGATATACAAAACATTCTGAGTTGTGCTTTTGTTCATGCTTAGATTTTGTGGGGGGAGAGTTTAGACAGACTTGTTCTGTACTCCAGAGCAGCCTAGAAAACACTATATTGTATAGCCCAGGCTGGCCTCGACTTTTCGCAGTCCTGCTGCCTCAGCTGCCCCAGCGCTGGGATTACAGGCGTGCACCGGCACATCCGGCTTTGTTTTCTGAGATGGTTTTACTGTGTTCCCAGGCTGGTCTCAAACTCCCCGGCTCCAGTGATTCTGCCACCTCAGCCTCCTCAGGAACTGGGACTCCTGGTACCATTAAGCTTAATAAAGCTTTCTTTCTTTCTTTTTCTTTTTTTTCTTTTTTTTTTTTTTTTAAGGAGGTGGGAACATGAGAGAGCAGGTTGCTTTTTGGGGGAGGCATCTGATTAATTTTGATTTAAAAAGAGGTCACTTGTTCTAAGCAAGCTATTCTTCATGACAGGTCTGAGTAGGTGCTGTGAGCTCAAAGGACTGTTTACACTTTCCTGGGAAGGCCGTTTTGTGGAAAATGAAGGCTGGAACTCCTGGGCCTGCTGGTATATTGATGCCCTGTGGACAGGGATTCCACGTCCCTTGGACCAATGGCTCTGAGATGCAGGGAGCAGAAGTCCACGGGGAATCCGGAGCACAGTCCCTGTGCCCCACTCCCAAGGACGGAAAGGCAGATGAAACACGACATGGCTCTCTGTGTCCTCCATTTACAGGCCCAGAGGCGGGCGTGGCAGAGTAGGGCTGCGGAGCTTTCCTTCATTCACCCCGCGTGCGCTGGACTCTGGGCTGTGTCAGGCACAGAGTCAGGTGCTGAGGGCTGCCACCCAGCCTAGGTAGCCTATAGGGACAGGTGGCTGAGGGGATGTGGGATCTTGTTCTTTCCTGACTTCACTGGCCCGCACCTCTATCCCCTTGGCTGGTTTCAGCCCTTCTGTTCTCTGCTCATCTTGGGTCCTCTTTCCTGGACTTCTGGCAGCTATAGCATCTTTCAATCACTGAGTTGGTCCTGCCTGCTACCTAGCCGGCCTTGGCCCCCTGTGGTCTGGCCACACAGCTGCAGGGTGTTAGCTGGGGCTGGCAAGAGGGGGTGGCCTGAGGGCAGCCTTTGGGCCCCAAGGCAGCTGCCAGAGGTGGGACTTCTGCCTTGATGTGACAACAGGCAGGAGAACCTGGCTGTGCAGCTCTGACGTTTGGGAGAAAGGTGAGGGCGGCCATGAAGGCTGTGGGAATGGCTATTGCTGCCCAGGAAGCAAGGGGGGGATAAGAGCAGTTAAAAGTGAAGTGAGGCAGCTTGGCCGGACTGGAGAGGAAAAGTATTGTGAGGGTGGTCACTGGTGGCACATGGTGCAGAGGGACTGGAGGCATTTCTGTTTTTGAGACAGGATCTTACTATGTAGTCCAGGCTGACCTCCATCTTGTGGCAATCCTGCCTCAGCTTCCTGAGTGCTGGGATTATAGGTGTGCATCACCACACCCAGCAATTTTTAAACTTTTAAGAAAGGATACAGGACCAAGGATTTAGCTCAGTGGCACCTTGCCTGCTTTGGAAGAGCAAGGTTCAGAGTTTAATCCCTGGTATGGGAAAGAAAAAAAAAGGCACAATGGACCAGCATGAGTCTGAGAGAGGGACAGCTCTTTAATTTTTCAATTTTTAATTTTTCGTACCAGGGATCGAACTCAGGACCTTGCACTTGAGGCAGGGAGCAGCACCAATGAGCTAAATCCCCAGCTCAATTTTTATTTTTTGAGACAGGTTCTCATTAAATTACTAAATTGCCCAGGCCGAGCTTGAACTTGCAATCCTGCCTCAGCTTTCCAGAGTGATGGGATTATAGGTGCATGTCACCAAACCTGGTTTTTTGAGGCAGGGTCTCACTATGTAGTCAAGACTGACCTGCAACTCACTATGTAGCCCAGGCTGGTCTCAAACTCACAGCGATCCTTCTGCCTCAGCCTCCCGAGTGCTGGGATTACAGGTGTGCACCACCATGCCCAGCTTTTTGTTTCTTTTTTGAGAGAACTTTTCCCCCCACTCTGGTACCGGGGATCGAACTCAGGACCTTGTACTTGCGAGGCAGGCACAGGGCTGCTGAGCTACATCCGTTTAAACAAGGTTTTGCTAAATTGCCCAGGTTGGCCTCAAACTTGCAATCCTCCTGCCTCAGCCTCCTGAGTGGCAGAGATCACAGGTGTGGATCGCTGTGCCTGGCTCTCAAGAACCCTCCAGGAGGAAGTGTGCTGACTGGCAGGATGTAACAGGCCTGGGCTAAGTGTAAAATCAGACAGGTGCCTTTACGTTTCACTCAGAGCTTGTCTCCTCCTCCCTAAAAACTGGGATGCTGCTCACAGGCTGCCTGGAGACTCAGAGGGTAAAGCACCACGCATGTGGCAGAACAGCCCACCCCATGATCAAAGGAAAGGATCCTTCACCTTCTCCGATAGTGACACGCCAAGGGGCTTCCCTCTGAGCTGCAGACTCCACTGCCAACAGTGCAGGCCTGGGTCAGCACACCTGCTGGCATGCCAGGCTGGGTTCTGGTTAGAAGCATCCAGGGAAATGGCCAACCACACTTAGTTCCAGGACCTTGACGAAGACCCGTTTCTGGAGGCCTGTCTTCACTTCTACGTAGAAACATGGATCACAACATCCCGCTCTTGGGGCTACAAGACTACAGTGACCCACCCACGTGTGGAATTGCTAACCCCTTACTAGACATTCACCGGTCCCTCTACGAGACTGGTAGTGACTACAGTGTTCCCGGCACCAACTATACCCCAACTGCTTCCCTTTGGGGAGGCAGAACACCCGTGTGCCACTTCTGGCAAGGCTGGCATGGGGAGAGCGAAGAGGCCCCAGCCACACCTCCCAGTCTCAGAGAACACAGGCCCCTGGCACTACCCACCCTAAGTAAAGAAACCCACACGACCACGCCAGTTGTTGGAGAGCATTTTTATTAAGGGCAGCAGAACGGGATCGCAGCATCTTAGCCTATTCTCCGCCATTGTGGAAGGGCAGAAAGAGGACCCACCCGGGCGCTTCAAGGAACCAGGTGATGGTGAATTCCTGAGCCAGTGCGGGTCAGCAGTGGGTAGCTGCTCCACAGCTCTCCCCTTCTCCAGAGGATTCAGCTTTTTGGTTTGGGAGCAGCCAGAGCTGGCTGCCAGCTTGCTCAAAGACCACCCTGGGGCACAGCTGAAAGGAGCAAGCCACCCAGGCTGGAGGGAGGGACACCCACTGACTTCAGAGCCAGGACTTTGTTGCCAGGGCAGACCATGGGGTGCCAGTGACAGGGCTGAGTCCCTGAGAGGGGCTGCCGGCACAAGGATGCCCTCCCATAGTGAGCAGAGAGCAGAGGGGGTGACAGGCAGGCAGAGCTACATGGGCAGAAATACGAAGCAATGGGAGTTTTTGAGAATGACCATTATTTCAGGACTTCAGAGAGGCAACAAGAACAAGTGCTGGCTTGTTTGGACAGCTTCTGACAGAATTTGGCATTTTATCCCAAATCTGAGTGTGAGGGAAATAAAATCCATTTATCACCTTTCTGCTAATGGAGACCAGATGAAGAAATGCTGGCCCTGTGCTCTTGCCGTCCTGGGCCTACGGAGTCTGCAGAAACCTGCCCTTGCACACCTAGGACTAAAGAGGCCGAGTTTATTTACACACCGCAGGAGCCTTGCACCTGGACAACTCAACAGTGTTATGCACCTACCCTACCCATCACTTCGTACTTCCGCATGGGCAAAAAACCCAGGAATACCGCATATGTCGGTAAGCCCTGGAAAGATCAAGTTATAGAGCTAAAGTGAAAAACAGAAAGCAAAGTTTCTTGAAGTCATCTTCATGGGATCTAGTCCCCTAGCAGCCGAGAAGGGAAGCCGCCAGTGGCAGGTGGTGGTGACATACGGTGTTCGATCGGCTTCCTCAGAGCATCAGAGCGCCACGCATGCTCTACCGTTCAAAGATAGTCCCACTCGCCTTGAAAGACATTAACATTCAAATCCTCACAAAGTTCATCTGATGATAAATTCTAAGGTCAATTTTTATTTCTACAAAAAAGGCAATCAAAACATATAAAACACATTGAAAGGTATTACTGAGTGAGCTTCACGTGGAGCTTGACTCTGCACAGACTGAGTCCAAAGAGAGAAGGAAGGGGCCAGCAGGGGCTCGAGACCCCAGACTGGCGCCAGACACAAAGCCTGAGTCCAGCCCGTTCCGATCCCACAAAGGGTCACACCGTGCCAAGGGAGGGCTGTGGTGGGGCCTGCTGCAGAGAGAAGTCGCAGAGCTCAGTGGCACATTCCGATGGAGATCGGGGATGGAGGAACTTGGAGTTGGAAATGGATCTTCTGGCTTCTGCTCTGCTGCGCTGACCAGTGGACCTTCTAGCATGGCTGCAGCAAAGGGTGCTGAATCTTGGCCTCAGGAGCCTCTCTGGTGAGAAATTCATCATCTCGCAAGCGCAGTGTCCTCAGCTGGCAAGCCCTTCCTCCAGAGTCACCAGACCTGGCCTTGAGGGTTTCCTACACAGTCCAGATAAGGCTGCAGTTCAATCAGGTACACACAGACAGTGGGCTTGCCCACTAACTCCACACTGCTGTGGGGACATGAGCCAGGTTTTTACAGAAGAGCTGGGCCTCCCTTTGCAGGGCTTTTCTGTTCATTTTCTTTTTGGGGGGTGGTGGTGGTTTGCTCGTTTGTAATTTTTAAAAAGGATGTTAGAGACTGGCATCAGGAGAATTAAACCAACTCCCATGGCGGATGGTGTGACACACAAGAAAAGCCGCCAGAGCCATTTCTTCATTGCAGTAAAGACGGGTGTCAGAAAGTGAATCCATGAAAAATAAACTGAATGCAGGGAGAGTGGGAGCTGCAAGGGTATGGAAGGAAGGGGAACCATAACCCTCATTTTTCTTTTTTTAACCTCACAGGCTAAATGTGACTTGAAGATTTTGGGCAAATTTGGACAAGAAAAAGAAACACCATGCTTTTGAAGTAGACTGAAGCAGTGATTTTTAAAACAAAGAAAGCAGAACTAGAATATCTGAAATTTTTAATCCTTTCTTTACAAGTTACTAGATCACTTTTGATTAAGAAAACTGTAGAAAGTTAGTAACTGCCACAAGTGAACGCCAGGTGGTGGCACATGTCAATTTTCCACAGAGTCCTGTTTTGCGGGGTGTCTGGATGCACTGCTCGGGGTCTCTGCTCACACTTGCTGGAATCATTTGTGGCAGATTTTAGTCCACAGGTCGCTTTTCCCCATATTTCTTTGTAAACTCTTCAGCGTTCTTACAGAATTTTTTACGGTCCTTAGAGTATTCTTCAGCTAGATCAGCCCGGAGCGGGTGCTCAGGCTGGGGGTCGTTCACCAGTGCTATGAGGGACTGGATTACTGCCAAGAGAAGGACAAGGCATCGGGGTTAGAGCAGATTCACGGAGGACGAGGGGCAGCTCATGTGAGACATAACTCGGACTTCAACAGACTTATAGCCAATGTGCCTTTTAAGACAAAGCGACTTTCTCTTAATTCAAATTCATTACCATCGGTACTCAGCCTGTTTTCTACACTGTAATCAGGAGAAAGGGAAGGATGACAAATAGCCAACACTACAGCGGGTAGTTAATTGGTCGGGGTGGTGCCCTGACCCCCACAGGAAGCAGCAGGATGCTCTGGAGACAGTCGGCTCTGCACTAACAGCGGCTCACACTCAAGCACATACACACCCGCACACAGATTACTTTTCAAGGTTCGGATTTGGGGGTACGAGTCTGCCCTCACCCGGCACCCAGCACCACACTCAGTTCAGATCAAGGTGAGAAAGAAGGGCTGTGTGACGGGGCCATGGAGCTCCTGAAGGTGGAGTAAGATTCACTGACGCACCTCGACGTCACTGGGAGAGTGGCAACCACACTGGCATCGAATTACCAACATCACGGGCAGAGGACACACAGGCTCGGGGTGCCATGATGCTCTGTATCGTGCAGTGCGTTCCAGACAGCTGGAGAGGCAATCCTCGGGGCAAAGGTTGGCACAGGAGTGCAGCACAGGGACTGGGATCAGCAGCGGTGCCACCCGCGTCTCCCACGCTCATCCCTAATCCCTGTCAGCACCCAGAGAGCTGTCATCTCCTTCCCCACCGCCATGTTCCTGTCTCCACAATACCTCGGCCCTCTAGACTGCCGATGCCACAGATTCCTCTCCTGGGCCTGTGGAAAATGCTGACACTGGCTGAGCTGGGCACAGTACAGGCGCGAGAAGTCACTGTCACGCCGAGGAAGGGTGCGCAAAAGTACCGCCTGCCTCCAGCACTGCCCACTGCCACCCAGTGAGGGGCGGTGAGAGAGAGGAGGCCCGCGGCAAAGGGACGGGACGCTACAGGCAGGCACAGAGAACCGTGGAGAGTGCGAGGGCCAGGGAGCCCCGCATCCAACCCTCATTCTCCGAAGAGCAGGTATCGTTGCTTCCCTGCACTCACTGAGGAAGTGGGCCGGGCCATCTTTTTGTCTCTTTATTTCAAGATTTGTTTTCCAGATTTTATTCATGCTTGACTGAAAAGAAAAGACAAAGCTGCTCTATTCCTGTTTTCCCGACACCAACCACTGCTATCCCACTGTGCCATTTATCCATAACAGCCTACATTACTGTTTACTTAGTATATATTTTTAAAATTAATTTTATTGATACATTTAATGTATGCAATATAATGACATTCATTGTTGGAAATTAGTATATTTCCTTACATCACTTTCTTTGGTGGGGCTGGGGATGGAACCTACATAGGCATTGCACATGCTAGGCAAGTGCTCTACCACTAAATTACATCCACTGCACTTTTTTTTTTTTTTTTGAGACAGGGTCTCACTGTGTAGTTGAGACTGCCCTGGAACTCACTATGTAGCCCAGGCTGGACTTGAACTCACAGCGATCCTCCTGCCTCAGCCTCCCGAGTGCTGGGATTACAGCATTGTGCTACCACGCCCGGCACATCCACTGCTCTTTAATATTTAAGAGGCAGCTGGGCACAGTGGCGCAGGCCTGTAATCCCAGCACTCGGGAGGCTGAGGCAGGAGGATCACTGTGAGTTCAAGGCCAGCCTGAACTACATAGTAAGACTCTGTCTCAGGAAAACAACAACAAAAAAAGGCAAGGAAACATCAACAACTCATTTGTTATAAACAAATTTCATGTGTCATAAATGAAAGGCATGCATTAATAAGCATCTCTTAAGAATCTCTGTAGCAAAAGTAGGATCTGTCTATCATAGGATTTACAGAATATTTTCATGTGCTTGTTTTCATCACTGGCAGATATCTGATGAAAAACATTTTTATGTCATTGGGTTTACTAAATTTGTGATGAAATATATTTTGATGTTCAAGGATAACTCGATTGTTCTGACTTTGGAAAAGGAAATTCAGAATTCAGTTTCTGGGGAGAGTGAAGCATGTGGGGAAGGGGAGAAACACACTGCTCACGTAACTAACACCAATCACGTTCTGTACATATGTCATTGTAGACACGTCACCTACTTGTACACAGTCCAGCTTCTCCGTTTAGGGTAGGGTTTGTATGCTGTGTGTTAGCTTTTAAATGGGAAATACTTAAGTTATTCGTGAGCTGTCTATTCCTGGTGTGGCACTCATGGTTTTTCAATAAGATTAGTATTATCTGTTTATAATGCCTGTCAATAAAAGAATTTATGGTTTGGCTTAAAAAAATAAAAGCAGGGCTGGGGATTTAACTCAGTGCTTTACAAGCACAAGGTCTCAAGTTTGATCCCCGGTACCAAAGCAAAACATTAAAATACCAGAGGGCCAAGGGTGTAGCGTTATTGCCTCCCACATGAGACTCTAGGTTCAATCCCTAGCATGGCAAAAAGCAAAAATGAAATGAGCTGGGCAAGGTGGCGAAGACCTGTAAATCCAGCACTTGGGAGACTGAGGCAGGAAGACTGCCTTGGGTTCAAGGCCATCCTGGACTATGGTATGGAGAGAGACCCTGTCTCAAAAAGCAAAACAGTGGGCCAGGGATTTAGCTCAGTGGTGCCGTTCCTTGCCTCGTAAGCAATCCCTGGTACCAAAAGGACAAACAATTTTTTAAAATAAGCACCTATTCCTCCTTCCCTTCCCATCCCATCCAAGCAGGGGGTGACCACAATGGGGAACAATCTCTTCCCGGCACAGAATCAGGGCCTCCCTAAAACTGTGCCTTTCGCGTGCTGCCCAAGGTGTACTTTAGCAGTCACCAAGAAGTGAAAAACACTGCTTCTTTTTCTTAATGCACTACTGAGAACTGAACCTCCGACCTATGCACTGAGCTGTATCACCAGTCCCTTTTTCATTCTGAGACAGTTAAGTCACTAAATTGCTCAGGCTCGGCTTGGACCTATGATCTTCCTGGCCTCATCTTCCCAGAGTGCTGGACTACAGGCATCACCACCGTGGCCGGCTTTGCTACTGTTCTATTCTGTATACCAAATCTCATTCAGCCACCACAGTAACTCTTGCTACTAAGGTATCTACTAGAAAACAGGGCACACAGTTGTGCACTGTGCACTCTTGTAACCCTAGCACTCTGGGAGACTGAGGCAAGCGGATGGCAAGTTTGAGCCCTATCTGAGTGATTCAGTGAGACCTTGTCTCAAAAAACAACCACTAGAACCAAACACTGCTAAATAAAACTATTCCTGCATTCCTTCTTTTTTTTGGAGGTGGTGGTGCTGGGAATCAAACTCAGAGCCTCAAGCTTGCCAGACAGGTGCTGTACCACTGAGCTACATGCCTGGTCCCTCTATGTTCTTTTTCTTTCTTTCTTTCTTTCTTTCTTTCTTTCTTTTTTTTTTTTTTTTTTTTTTTTTTTTTTTTTTTTTTGTGTGGAGT